AGAACTCACTCATTAATCCCCCCTCCCCCAGGGAGAGCATTAATCCATTCATGAGGGATCCACCCCCATGACTCAATCAGTTTCCAACACTGCCACATTGGAGATCAAATTTCCACATGAGTTTTGGAGGGGACAACACATCCAAACTCCATCACTATTATAATGTTCTTTTTTTAAAAAGTAAAATATACTTTTGGATGTGGGTCTTGTATTCTGTAATACTGATAAAATTGTTGGTGAGTCCCTTGCACATATTTATAGAAAATATTATGTCACTTACAATGAAGACAATTTTACTTTTTTATTTTCCAATCTGGGAAATTTTATTTATTTCTATTGTATCAGTTTCCTGGCTAATACCGCTACCATAATGTTGAGTGAGAAGAGTGCTAAAAGTGGAAATTCCTGTGTTGTTTTCAAATCCGCAAGTAAAGACACCCAATCTTTCACCACTGAGTTTGATGTTAGCTGTAGATTTTTTACAGATGTCTTTTAGAAGCTACTTTCTTTTTGTTAGCAGTGTGCTGAGGGTTTTTTTATAAGTGGGTGTTTAATTTCTTTAAACTTTCTCTGTCTATTTAAATTATCATTTTTGTCCTTAAGTAATATTGGGCATTACCTTGATTGAACTTCATTTCAAATGTAATCCCACTTGGTCTTCAAGTATATTCATGGTTATGTTGCAGGATTTAGTTTACTGGCATTTTCTGAGAATGTATGCATCTAAATTTTTTTCTTTTTCTTTTTTTTTTTTGTGATTCGTGACCGGCAACGAATCGCAACCCTCAGTGTCGCACCCATACCGGACCGGGACCGGCTACGGGATCTCAACCCTCGGTGTTGCTCCTGCACCTCGCTCAGCCAGTGAGCGGCCGGTCTGTATGTGGGATCCGAACCCTCGGCGGGAGCACCACCACGCTTCCCAAGCGGTGCACTATAGCAGTGCGCCACCGGGCCGGCCCTGTATGCATCTATATTAACACAGCATGTGGGTTCACAGCCTTCTTTATTTGTCATGCTTTTGTCTGGCTTCAGTGCTCTTTTTTTAATTTGCACCTAATTTGAGAGCAATTATAGGAGACAAATAAATGGAGTCATATCCCATATTCTTGGATTGGAAGAATCAATATTTTTAAAATATTCATAGTACCCAAAATGATCTATGAATTCAATACAATGTTTATCAAAACTACAATAGCATTTTCCACAGAAATAAAAGATAATGTTAGCAAGTATGCAGAGGAAATGAAACACTTTTACACTATTAGTGAAAACGTAAATATGTAAAGCTATTATAGAAAACAGTATAATGTTTATCCAAAAATTATAAATAGAACTACCAGATGATCCAGAAATTTCACGTTTGGGTATATTTCCAAAGAACATATAAATTATACATATATATATATACATATATACAAAACATGTCTGTGTATAATTAAAGGCTAATTTTATGTATATATAATTTATAATTTTATATATATAAAATTTATTTATATAATATATATGTTATATATATATTATATATATATATAAAATTTATTTATATAATATATATGTTATATATATATTATATATATATATAAAATTAACCTTTAAGAAAGATGGAAATTCTGCCATTTTTCCATGGATAAAACTTGAGGACATTATGCTAAGTCAAATAATCCAAACACACAAGACAAATCACTGCATAAGCTCATTAAGATATGGAATCTAAAAAAGAGTTAAACTTATAGGTAGAGAGTAGAATGGTGGTGACAAGGACCAATGCGATTTAGGAGACATTGGTCAAATGTTACTAACCAGTTCTTATAACATGAATAAGTACCTACTGTACAGTATGGTGACTGTAGCAGAAGGTAATGTATTGCATCCTTAACCTTTTTTCAAAAGGTAGATATCAAATATTCCCACCACACAAAATAAAGTAACTATGAAAGTAACAAATATTTAGCCTAATTGTAATAATTGCACAATGTGTACATATGTTAAAACATCACATTGTACACCTTAAATATAAATAATTTTTCTTGTCAATTATACACCAATAAAGGTTTACAGATATTAAGTATAACCAAAGTAATATCCAGCCACATGTAAATTGCATTTATGACAATTCAAAATAAATTCTAGATTTGATATAAATTCAAACTGACATAATTTTTACAAAGTCAGGAAAGTTCTAACGAGCAAGCATGACGTTAAGCCTGAAATTGAATATTTAGCTAAACCACTTGCAATAATAAGAGTAAATTAAAATATTTTTAAAAGTAAACCATTGATATACTTGATTACCAATAGATTTTTAAGGGTACACTTCAAAACAAAAGAAACATTTTCTAGTATGAAAGTAAAATAAAATAAAAGAATAAGAGGTATCATATGAGGATATCAAGCCATGGTAGATATTAAACTTTAAGGCTGTTTCACCTTTACTTGTATTGATACTTAATAAGTAGTGAATTTTTATATTTTAATTCTAATTTGTTCTATCTTATATTGCAAATCAATTAGATGTTATATCTAGCATTTAAATAAGTCATTAAAATAAGCATAAATAAAACTATAGAAAGTACATAGTCCTTGGCAGCATCATTTTCAAAAGTATTTAGCTATAATGAAAGTATAATTCCATACATTTTATTTAAACCGTATCAAAAAATCCAGGCCTACTTGAACAATTAACTGGTAGATGAAGACTCTATATTTCAGAAAATGTTTTACATCACTAACATTAAAAATTGATGAAACTGTGATTGCATATTTTGGAGAATGTCAATTATTCTTTTATCAGAACTGATTTGTACCAGAGGGATAGCAGTGGCATGGGCATTGAAAACAAACTTCTGGACACTCATGATGACTGGGTCATACGTCCATAACAGAGTTGAGATGAATGAGGTGATAAGGTCCATAAAGTACATGGAAAGAAGGTCCACAAAGAAACCCACCAGCAGCAGGATGGTCTGGGTGGCCCTCTTCTCTGGAGAGGTGGCTGGGGTGAGGCCAGGGCTGTGCAGGTGCCGGGATCGCTTCCGATGCTTGCACAAGACAGTCACCATGTACGCACTTGAGAGCAGCATGATTCCTACACAGGAGACATCCCTGGAGGTGCTCAGTGTGAACGTTACACACCTGAGGATGAAGCTCCTGGGGGACAGTGAGCAGTGTCTACTGACCTTCAGCAGGTTTGTCTGGGTCACATTGAAAGAAACCACAGTGAATATGAGGTTACTGCTGACAGACAGATTGAGGAACCAAAAAAATAAGAAAATATGAATAATGTACTTTGTGAGTCTACGTTTAAACCTTGCCAGCCAGGAGGTGCTGGGGCTGATGGTGACGGCCTGGAGCACACTCAGGAGGCAGGTGCTGCAGATGGAGAGGCCCCTCATCACCTTGCTTGTGTAAAATAAAGCCTTACATTTGAAGTCATTCCCAAAATTCAGTGATTCGAACACGTCTACAGGCGAAACATCCACTACAGTGAGGAGCAACACTATGTGGACAAAGGCCAAGTGACAAGTGACCAGGTCAGTGGGCTTAGGCCTGCGGTGCTGAAGGAGTGTGAATATGTGCAGGAGAAGAAGGAAGGTGTTGGCTGAGACTCCAATGCCAGCTTGGAAAATAAAGGCATTTTTTATTGATAACATAAGTGGAAAGTGTGTTCATCCTAATGGCACAGAGACAATATTTTGTGTATCTAGAAAACAAAAGCCAAAAATTTCACATCATTGTTTGTTCTTCAGTGTTCAAAATTATGACCATCACCATTATTTTTATTTTGCACAACTCTTTTGGTTGATTCCACCTTATTAAATTATGGATAATCCAGCTCTGTATTATTTTCTACATTAAATAACTTATTTATGTAAAATATCAACACATCAAAATCGTGCCTATGCAGGGTGCACACTAATCTACACTCCTGTAGTTCCCAGACCTTCCTTTTTTAGAAGTAATATCCTTGCTCTATATTCTCATATTTAGCTTCCAGAAAAATAATGGATGTGAAAAATGAATCAATGGTATTTGTATACTTTAATTGAATATAAAAATATGCTAACCTAAAAAGAATCACTAAAACAAACCATTGAAAATAAAACAGTTGAGTCTCACATCCCATTACTCTGATTACATTCTATTCTTTATCACTTTTTCACATTTTTGAACCTTTATGATTCCTTGCAATAATTTATTATCATAATCTTCCTATTATAAATCAGATTTGCAATCTTTTTTTTTTTTTTTCCTTTTTTGTCTTTTTTTTTTT